TTGGGAACTCAAAATACGGCCACCCTTTCCAATTATAAAGATACTCTAAAAGATAAGCCAACTAGAAGACATGTTTGAATTCTGAGCTCAGTGTTTTTTTTTTTTCGTTTGAGACATGAGTGGAAGATATGAAAGTGATCAGGGAGTATAGATTTTATTTTAATTTTTTTGAGACAGGGTCTCACTCAAAGTCACCCAGACTCAAGTGTAGTGGTGCAATCAAAGCTCACTGCAACCTCAAACTCCTGGGTTCAAGTGATCCTCCTGCCTCAGCCTTCCGAGTAGCTGGGACTACAGGTGTGTACCTCCACGTCCAGCTAATTTTTAAATTTTTTGTAGAGATGCGGTCTTGCTATGTTGCTCAAGCTGATCTTGAACTCCTAGCTTCAAGCAATCCTCCAGCCTTGGCCTCCCAAAGTGCTAGGATTACACGCATGAGTCACCATGCCTGACCCTCAGCTCTTCTTAAAAGGTTCCTAACCTAGTGCAATTTATCTTGGATCCCTCTAAATCCTGCAGCAATCCATCAAGTTCTTTCTCATTGCTACTCTCCATCTTTCCAAAATATATTTATATATACTTAAACCAGACATCCTTTCTTTTGCTCCCTTGAAAAAGTAAGATTCTTCAAGGTGGGAACTGCATCTTTTATATTATTTATAACTCTCGATAGGGCTCATAAAATTCATTTCCCAAAGCTTGCTACCACATGCATAAATTATGACCAGAGTTTTTGGCATACAGTGGCAAAACTATAAGATAAGCAATCTAGCGATTATTATTCTAAACTTAAAAAATCTGAGACCCTTACCCAATTCAATGTAGACAGACTTATTTTGAGGTTTTATCTGCTGCTTTGTCCTCAGAGATCTCACAATTCCAAGGTTAGAGAGTTGGACACTGAGACTGGTTTCCTGCTAAGCAGTAAAGAACGGTCAACCAATTTTTGGCCAGTTCTATGCTTTTTTGTTGGAAGAAACTTGAGGCCATGGACAAAATAAATCAACCATCATCAGTCAGCTAAAATTTATGACACCTGGAAAAACGCCTGGAAAACTATACACTAAAATGTCTGGGTTTTATGTGATTTGAATTTTTTTTCTCTTTCTGTTGTTTTAAATTTTTGCAAACTGATTTTGTATTATTTGTGTAATTTTTTGAAGTATTAAAATAGCATAGTTTGAAGCTGATACTTGATATATATTTCCAATCACATCTGATAACAGGGTGGGAAACTGAGATAAATTTTTAAAAAGGATAAATGACAACAATAAAACCACTAGCATTCCTAAGAACATTTGGCAAAGGAAAGAATATTTAAAAGCCCAACATTACTTTGATAAAGCTTTTCTTCTTCCTTTTTAGCCCTTCTACATCTCCAGAAAAATGAATGCTGGTACTATGAGAACTATTATTTTTAAGATCTCCATTATTCATTCACATATCAGTAACGACAGAGCAAATCATTACATTTTCTTTGACAATTACACCTTTTAAGTAATTTTCAAATGCTTAAAAATATCAGTGACCTCATGGCTATTTTAGGCAAGCATCAGAGCAGATAAAGCTCTAAAGCAGGGGAAGGGCCTGTCAGGTCTCTCTCTCTCTCTTTTTTGTAATTTTTGAGATAGGTGTTTTGCTATGTTACCCAGGCTGGTCTTGAACTCCTGGCCTCAAGCAATCCTCTTGCCTTAGCCTCCTGAGTAGCTGTGACTACAGGTGCATCCACCTTGCCTCTCTTGAGCACACCAGGTACCCTGACCTCTGAATTCCTCTAACTCTTATCAATTAGGACACTTTTCCAATCACTTAATTTACCATCTTCCCTTCTTTATTGACTTTTCATATAAATCCACGAGCATCTAGTACATTCACCAACTCACAATGCTCAATAAAGAAATGTCAAAATAAATGAAAATGGTCTTACCAAGGTAGGATTTTCAGGTTCACTCTGTCGAAGTCTTTTGGCACGGTTTCTGTAGCCCATACTTTGGATGATAGATACTTCCTCCTTTAGTTGTTCAGGAGAGTTATTTCCCTTTTTTGCAAAATTATAACTGTTTGCAACTGTAAATTACAAGGGAAAATGTTATTTTTGTAGTCAGAAAAAAATGTATGCACTGTAATCAAAGAAACCAAGTGAAATCCTGTGTATGCTCTTTGTTGTGTTAAGACAATGCATTAAGGTTGCATTGTCTATATTAATTACCTATAATTTTTTAAAAAATCAACTCTGGAAATTCTACACTTAGAAAACAAACTAACAAACAAAAAAACAAACACATAGACCATTAAAGTTATTTCTTTTTTTTGAGACAGAGTCTTGCTCTGTTACCCGGGCTAGAGTGCCGTGGCGTCAGCTTAGCTCACAGCAACCTCAAACTCCTAGGCTCAAGCGATCCTTCTGCCTCAGCCTCCCGAGTAGCTGGGACTACAGGCATGTGCCACCATGCCC